GGCACCAAAAAAAAAAAAAAAAAAAAAAAAAGAATCCACTTTTAAGATTCTTTAATATAACTGGACAGTGTGAGAATTGCTCTTATACTTTCTCTGTCTTATGATACCAACTCTCTTAAATGGAAGTTGTGTTTAATGCTGATAACAGAACACACATTCTAAATCTAGTGTTGGAAGTTTGTCCAAGTGAGATCCCACCTCCATGAGATCAGAGCCTCTTTTCATTCCTGAGCACCAGGCCAGATCTCTGCATCCTCTCTCCTTCTGATCCTTCCCTCCTCAGTGCTGATTCCAGCACAGCTCCTGCCTCCTGTCTGCTCCCTATCTGTTATGGTTGATACATTTTATCAAGTATAGAAGGACAGAATTTTAACTATGAGATTCAGCAGAGCCAAGGTCCTCACTTTGTACCACACTCAACCCATGCAAGAAGAGGAAACATAGACGGTGAGTGTGTTACTCCCTCACCCCAAGGGGAGGAGCCAGTTATTTGCCTGAGCTTTGTGCCCATGGCCCGCTAAGGCATGGCCTCATAAAGAGAGACACAGGTTTTCAGGTTGTCAGAGAGCTTCCTATCCAGTGAAAACACATCATCTCATCTCTCACCCACTACAGGGTCTCTGACTTATTTCTAAGGCCTGGGTACAGGGGTTGTGGATCCGCCCTGAGCTGATGCCACCCCTCCACACTGCTTTCTGATCCCCACCATGACACTTAGGCTGGGGAAACACAAGGAGGGGTCCTTCGGGCAGAACCAGCATTAGCCTGGGCCAAGGCTCAACCAAGCTGTGCGAAACCTAGAGCAGCAGAGCCCAGATGATAGTGTGCAGAGAGGGGAGACAGGCAGGTGTGGGGTAATGGAGGGGTTTGGTGGGCTCCCTGGGGATATATTGTGTTACAGGAAGAATTTAGGTAATGCCAACAAGAAAGGGTTATTGGGAGAAACATTTATTTTAGTTCAATCGCCAATGTCAAGTATACTATAAATTCTTAGGTAAAAATTAGATTTTTTTTTATTTAAAGAAAAAAAAACAGAAAAAGAGTAGAAATAATACATAATTTGAAAAAAATAAACAGTAAGAAATCACTAGTTAATGATTACATATTGTCCTCTTACAAATAGTTGTTCAAATTACAAAAGTGAAGCATTTGAAGTGGACATTCTAACAGTGAGACTGCAAACAATTCTGTTCAACTATCCAACAAAAACTTAGTCATATGATTATCAACTCTATACACTTAAACATGCATGCAGTTATATCCTTTAAAGCACTTTCTATTCCTTTATTTTTTACAATAGCAACTACACACTTTGGATTTTATTACTCCTTCATTTCTTATTACTTCTTACACTAGAGACACAATGTGATAATTATAAATATGATTCTTGTTCATTTCACTAATGAGGATAGCGTCAAGCTGTCTCCATTTGCCTATGAAGGCCTCAAGATCATCCTTTTTATAGCTGAGTAATATTTCATTATAAAAAATACCACATTTTTTCATCCACTCTGCAGTTAATGGGCATCTTGGTTTTTCCAATATTATCTACTATAAATTGTGCTGCTATGAACATGAGTACACATATATCTCTGTGATATGACCTTTTCAGTTTTTCTGGGAAATTACCCAGTAGGAATAGCTGGGCTGAGTAGAACTTCCAATCCTACTCTTCTGAAAATTGTCCATACTAATTTCCATAGTGGTTGCACCAGTCTACACCCCCACCAAAAATGTAGCAATGTTCCTTTTTCCCTGCAGCCTCACCAACATTTATTATCAGTTGATTTCTTGATCACAGCCATTCTTTTCAGAGTGAGATGAAATCTTAATGCTATTTTAGTTTTCATTTCTCAAATGACCAGTGACGGTGAACATTTCTTCATGTATTTATTTGCCATTTGTATATCTTCATCTGAGAACTGGGTGTTCATCTCAGATGCCCATTTTTGGAGAAGCTCTTTGAATTTGGGGGGTTTGATGTTTTTCAGTTCTTTAAATATGATGTGTCCTTTGTCTGATGGGTTGCTGGCTAAAATTCTTTCCCATTCTGTGGGTTTTCTTTTAACTGAGTCAGGGATTTCTTTTGAAGTGTAGAAACTTTTCAATAATATGAGATCCCAGTTGTTGATTCTTTGAAGTGTTTCCCATACAGTTTACATTATGTTCATGAAATCTCTGCTTTCCCCTATGTCTCCAAGACTTCTACCTTCCTTGTCTTCCAGTAGATTTAGTGTTTCTGTTTTAATATTTAGGTCTTTAATTCATTTAGACTTTAGTTTTGTGTATGTGATAGGCATAGACTTAGTTTCAGGCTTCAACATGTGGAGAGCCAATTTTTCCAGCACCATTTATTAAAGAGGCTATCCTTCTTCCAGTGAACATGTTTAGCCCCTTTGTCAAATATCAGGTGGCTGAGTGTCTTTGTATTTGTGCTTGCATCTTCTATTCTGTCCCATTGATCCTCAGGTCTATTTCTTTGCCTGTATCATGCTGATTTTATCACTGTGGCTTTGTAGTATAGTTTCAAGTCAGGAATTGAGATGCCTCCTGCCTTGCCTTTGTTGCCCCGAATTGACTTTGCTACTCCAGGTTTCTTCTATTTCCAAATGAATTCTAGGAGTGTTTTTTCTAGATATGTAAGGTATGATAATTGTATTTTGATTCAGATTGCACTGAATCTGTATAAGAGTTTTGGGAGTATGGCCATTTTTTAAATTTTATTTAGAATGTAGTAAAAATACAACAGAACAAGATAAAACAGAGCCAATCAAGACAATGTAGTGGCACTGGTACAGAACTTCAAAGCAGGATATTGGGATAGTAGTAATACATACTATAGTGTATCTCATTATCTTCACAATAGTTGTCCAGGCAATTAGGTATAGAGAAATCAAACCAATAACAGACCATTGTAAAACCAATTGAAGGAGAATATTGAATACAGCATAATAATCATTACAAAACATAACAGTGAAACCAACTTTTGCCTTAAAACAGAACATAGAAGGATATCCCCCTTATTTGCTATATTGCATATGGTCATCCTCCCAAGAGATGTTCAGAACTCTGTCCCAAGTTGCTGATAAGCAGGGGAAGACATTTGATTCTCAGCCCACACACTGGTAGGCTCTCAGGAACAGCTGACTGGTTCTACTCCCAGCCAATGCCAGGGTGCTTTCCAAGAGGGTGGGCAAATATCCTTCTTGTGCAGCCACGTTGAGTCGCAAAAAGGCCAAGTCTCGAGTAGCCACTTCTGGTTCTCCTGCTGGCCGGTGCCAGGGGTGCTTACCAAGAGGGCAGGTGAATAGCATTCTTGTGCAGCTGCCTAAGTGCCAACATGGCCAGGTTTCGGGTAGCTGCTTCTGGTTCTCACAAGTATGGCCATTTTCACAATGTTTGCTCTTCCTAGCCAAGAGCAAGGAATATCCTTCGATTTTGCAATATCTTCTTCTATCTCCTTTTATAGCATAGCATAATTTTCAGCATATAGGTCTTTTACATTCTTAGTTAGGTTGATTCCTAAGTATTTCATTTTTTTAGCTGCTATTGTGAAGGGCAATATTTCCATAATTTCTCTCTCAGTGAGTTTTTGTGTGCAGATTGCTATTTTTTTAAATTGTATAGTATTAGTACCTGTTCAAATTACTTAACATTTATATTCATCATTGATTGCTTTTATGCCTACAGAGGTCACTTCAATTCTCTACAAACTATGACTGGCTGTTTCCAAAATGTTGCCTTGGAACTAGTGACTCAAATTCATATGAACTACAAAATTTTACAGGTTCTTCTCACCTATGAGGCAGCTATCAACTGGCTTGGTGAACAGCACTAAATTCAATGGACACACAGTTAACCTATGACACTGTGAAGTGTTTACTATACATTATTCCTAATTCTTTTAATCATTCTGAGTCTTGGGAGGAGTTGCATTGTTCTCTCCAGAGTCTCTTTCATAAAACTCTGGATGGGGACATTGCTAAGCTCTGAGGTTGGTTTTTGGAAAAATATCAGGATCCTAAATGCAGGCTCACAACATTACAGTGGGTCCTCTCAGAGATACAGCCTACTGGCCACATCCTAAACCTTGGTTCCTGGTCTTAACATTGATATTTGGATTCTTATAGGAATTAGGATAATCTTTGTTTGACTCTTTTTTTGCAGTCCCAAGGGTCATTTGTGTGCTGTTCCAAAAGATCTTCCCTGTGAAAGCCAGATGCCTTCCTGCATCAATACCCCTACCCTCTACATTTACCCCTTTCCCAATCTGAATGATAAATCAAAAGAAAGGGGAAATTGTGTGGAGAAAATGACCAAAAGTAAGTGTGAGAACTGGAAAATATTCTGTCCACAAAAGTTCAGACTCCTCAAACGAAGATGTTAGCTTTAGAGCAGATCTGCAAGACGACATTCAGAGATGAAAGCAAGTTATCTTCAGAAACTCTTTGCTTCAGTCAGTGTGTCTTCACAGCCTCCAATAATCCAGCAGGAATTAGAGAGGCCCATAGCATGGAACAGATGATCCTGCTCCCTCTTTATCCTGTGTGCCAAACTTCTGAGGAAATGTTTGCTTCTCATTCTTCCTCCTCTTGAGTTCTTGAGTTCTAAATCAACAACTACAATTGGCTCATACCCATATCCTTCCCTAAAGCTGGACTGAGCATAAGAATCTGCTGTGGACGTTTTGGAATGAACTGAGTCATGTCCAGAAGTAACCTTTCTTGTCCTTTCAGCAGCTGAGGCTAAGCACTGTGACAGTACAGGTGGAGAGAGGGCGGGCTGTGCCTCTTCTTCTATGCACTTGTCCACACAAACCTTTTCTAACGGTGCATCCTGCAACACAGAAAGAGACAAGGCGATTTCTGGAATCCCTTAGGGTTTGAAATCATCTTCCAAATGCGGCTGGGGCTGAGCTCGCCTCTCTGATCTCGGGGAAGAGAGAGCTGCATGCCCTAAAAACAGAAAGAGACATAAAAGAGTCCATTTTCAATCTGAAGCATTTATTGATGCGTGAGACAATTCCTTATCACTGAGATGAAACACACAGGTGGATTTTTAGATGTGAGGACGATTAGATATTCAAAAGAAAACTATATTCACAAAATTTACAACTTAACTTGAGATTAGTACAAGTCATGTTTACCCAGTAAGTGAAATTCCTAAGGATTAAATGGAACACGTGTTGACTTGGACTTGCATACTTCATTACAGCTCATGCATCGGTGGGTGGGATCAGGTGCTATGATCTAATGCAGAAGGGAAACCACAGAGGCTCCAGGAAACCTCTCTCCTGCTTCCTGCTCTGCACCTGCTCCTCAGCCCAGTATGGTTTTCCATGGATCATACCGCCCCCTGCCGGACGTGAGACCACCTGCACGGAGATTTTTGTCTGGGCTCACACTGAGGTCTCCTCACTGTGTAGGCAGCACAGTAATACAGGGCCGTGTCCTCCGTTCTCAGGCTGTTCATCTGCAGATACAGCGTGTTCCGGCCGTTATCTCTGGAGATAGTGAATCGGCCCTTCACAGAGTTTGCGTAGTTTATTTTACTACTGTCATGATAGATGAGTGAGAGCCACTCCAGCCCCTGTCCTGGAGGTTGGCGGATCCAGCCCATGGCATAGCTGCTGAAGGGGAATTCCAAGGTCACACAGGAGAGGGTTAGGGACCCTCCAGGCGGCACCAAGCTTCCCCCGTACTCCACCAGCTGCAACTCAGCCTGGACACCTGCAAACACAGAGACATCGTGCTCAGGAACCATCACAGAGGTCCCCTGTTTATCCTACTAATGTCCACTGACAAGATCATTATTTTTGTTCTAAGCCTTTTACCTTTCCAAATTGCAAAGAGCAAGATCCAGCTCAGCCCAAATGCCATTATGAGCTGTCTATGCTCACTCCGAGTCACTGAGTGGACACAGATGCCCATACAAGGCTGAGCTCTAATATAGAGCCCCAGAATCAGGGCTAGGCTGGTGACATCAGCAGAGGGAGCCCTATTTGCATGGCCTCCTGCTATATACCCAGTTATACTAGTGAACAATTCAGAGAGGGCAGTGCCTACAACAGATGTGAGTGTGCTGGGGAAGTGTGGTACCAATGATTTGATTGAAGAGAATATGAAATTGCATCATGAGATGATGTAGTGGTATTCATCTATCTATTTGTGTACCTTTATTTTTCACATAACATCCATTTTTCCAATAAATAAGTCTGTTTTGGAAGCACAGAAAGTATGTAACTGAGAAACTGTTTCCTTTCCTACAAGAGAGCTAGTCCCACTGATCCTCCCACTGTCTCATGTACACTCCCCTAAGTATCAAAAGGCACTTTTGCAGGTCGTGGATGGAGCAGACACACTTGGTGACGATTCTACTCTCTTCTTCCTGTAATGAGAACATGCATCACTTTACTGCATCCTGCTGTTTGCTCAGAGAAAACAGAGCCAGAGGTTGTCTGGATATCTTTTAGTGACCCTTTCCTTGTCTCCTGTCATTGATCTTCTCACTGTTTCTGTAAGAAGATTTTTTCCCCTCTGTTACCAGGAATCCAATGCAAGGCATCACATTTTTCAGACAGGGCCAGTGCCACAGAGCTAAAGCCATGGATCAGCACTGGGTACTGCAGTGTCTTTTTGCCTTCAAAGTATTTGTTCATTTTATCATGTGTCATAAGATCAGTTCTCATAAACTGTCTATAGTTTCTATGCATTCCTGAATCTTAACATGTATTTCTATCCTTTCTATACTGGAGAGAGAAAAAAAAACAAAGCAAGACAAAACAAAACATATTCCTATAAACATATGAAACAAAAAAGACATACAAGACCACTGTACAAGGAGTTCTACCATGGTTTCTGTGTTGTCTCTTGTTATCTTCAATAGAATTAGCTATATCATCACTCATAGTATAATTGAATATATCAGTACATAAAAGTATTAATAAAAACACAACTTTGTATATAGTATAAAACTTCAAAAACAGGTAGTAATCAAACCAGAATGGGTATCATAGTGAGTCTTGTCATTTACAGTGTAGTTGTGTATACTCTCAGACTTGATACTATCAATTATATCAGTTTGAATAAAATCCGTCGACACCAAACAGCAATCAAACAAACCAGATTTAACTAAGATCAGTCATGATAAAACAGTATAAGTCATACAGGGCTCCAGATTAACTTAATAGGAAATTAAAGATGATTATTTTGCTATATCCTGATGTTTTTGTGATAGCTGTCTGGGCCCTGTAATCTAATGCAAGTAGACAAACTGGGACAAAATAAAATCTATCTAAGCAGAGTGGTGCAAGTAATATGGGTTTTAATTCTTGATAAACTATAAACAATATCTTCTACCATCTTTTTAAAGGCTATTCCTCTCCTTTCACTTCCCCAGGGTGCACTGTGCATTTCTGGGTCTCACCAAGACCCTCGGTTTTAATTTGGGGGGGAGGTACAACCTGCTATTTATCTCAGTGGTTCCAAACCTTCTCCCTCCTGGACTCAATCTCTAACTGTATTCATTTACCTGTTAAAGCCTGTCTTTCCAACTATACACAAATACTGGTCTAGTTGCTCATATTACTCTCTGCTTCCCTGTCACATAGAGCATTGTTTTCTCATATGTGACTTTCAGTCCATATACCCATTTTCAGGTTAATTATATTTGCAATAAAGAGCATCTCGGTGGACCCTACCTCCTAATCTACTCTATCTGTGATTCTTTGTTTAATTTAGTGTATCAAAGCCATCTATATTAAAGATTGTAACAAACCTTCTCTGCCTCATTTCTGTTATGCTCTTTCTTTGCCATTAGTTGTCTGTTTGTCTTCTTCATTCTGCTTTCTGCTCCATTCATTGAGGCCTTTCTGTCACTGTTCCTGAAATCCTGGTACTTTTCTCTCTCTTTCTCTAGAATGCTCTGCAATATTCTCTGTAGAGTTGGATTGGTGGTCACAAATTTCTCCAGTTCCTCTTTGTCTTGGAAGCATCTTGTTTCTCCATAAGTTTCTAGAGACAGTTTTTCAGGGTATATCAATCTGGGATGGAGATTATTTTCTTTTGGGGCTTGGAATATTTCACTCCAAGCTCTTCTTGGCTTGATGGTTTGTGTTGAGAAGTCTGATGTGATTTTGATGGATTTATCTTTATAGGTGATCTGTTTCTTGTCTCTAACAGCTTTCAATATCCTGGTCTTATATTGAATTTCTGGGATCTTGATTGTTATATGCCTGGGTATAGCTCTGTTTTGGCTATAGGTGGCTGCAGTTCTGTATGCCTCATACATCTGAATACCATTTCCTTTTCCTATGTTTGGGAAGTTTTCCTTAATTATTTCTGTGAATATCTTTTGTAGTTCCTTTGTTTGTACCCCTGCTTCCTCATTCACATTCTTTATTCTCAAGTTATAGATCCTCTTGTCATCTCCTAGCCTTTGTATTGTTATTGCTTATTTCCTTGTTATTTTTTAAAAGTTTTTCCTTTCATAATCCCACATTGCAAACCTGTCCTCCAGTTCGAATCATCTATCCTTAGTTTCTTTCAAGCAGTTTTGCCAGCTTTCCATGGAGTTTTTTTATTTCCTGGTAATCTCTTTGAATCTGTTTCATGTATTCTATATTTTCTTTATATTCTTCATCAAACAGTTCTCTCCTTTGTTTGTGTAAATCTATTCTTCCATCTGTGTTTTGTTGAGAGGTGCTTAGCATTTCTTTTATCAATCTATTTATATCTTGCTTTACTTTTTTAAATATTTCACTTTTGAACTCATCAATGAGGTCCCAAAGATATCTCTTTATGTCCACTGATGCTGTGTCTGATATTGCATGTTTGCTGTCCTCAATCTCTTTTGTATTTATCTTTCCTGGATCAATGTTCTCAGGGTTGGGGGATGGTGGTTCTTTCTTACTCCTTTCTCTTCTCGTATTTTTTGTTTCTTCCATACAGGCATATAAAGGAGGCCCCAGTCCCTTTTGTTGTTGTTGTTGTTGTTGTTGTTGTTGTTGTTGTTGTTGTTGTTGTTGATTCTGGTTCTTCTGAAGGGTGCTGGCTAGGTGACCCTGCCTACTGCAGTGTGCTATTGAAGTACAAGTAGGGACAACATATAACAGCCCCTCCCCTCTGGGTTAGCTAGCCTGCCAAGGCCTTCACTGCATTAGTGTGCACAGCACATAGGGAATTGGTCTGGGACAACCTACTGGTTCCCAGCCAGGGGTGTGACCCAGGCCAAGCACATCTCACCGATCCCATCTGGGAAGGGAACAACTGACTGAAGTTTCTGCAGTACCTTGTTTCTGTCAATCCTGCCTGGTTCCAAAATGCCATCCCCTTTCCCATGGAAGGGTTTTATTCCTGACACTCACTACAGGTCAATATAGGTCCCCTAACAGCTCCCCTCTCTGTTGGTCTTGCTGACCCCCAACCTCAGTGCAACCGCACCACAGCATGACTGCGGCTCTGGCGAGTTGAAGCAGTGGGAACCTGGGCAGTTCACTGAGTCGCAGCTACACGAGTTCAGGCATGCTAGCCAGTGCAGTTTTCTGGTTCACTGCTCCCTTCTGCACTTATATCACCCCACCAAGACCTTCAAGCTTGACAGCCACCAGCTTCCCTGTGCCTATGCATCTCTGTTCCAACAGTGCTTCTGGCACAGTGGGACCAGCTGTGGTGAGAGTGCTGCCAGCCACTGCCTTCTTCTGTTCAAGTTTTTCTTTTTTAAAATTCTTTCTGTGGGCTTCAATTCTCACTTTAGTTTCTTCCTGGGTCAAGGGGAACTATGTCTTTCCTGCTTTTCTTCTCCAGAATGCTATATTCCAGCATCTGAGCTGTTTCTCTCAGAGAGGCTTTTTATTTTGCTGTTTACTGTTCTGCCATCTTCCCAGACTCTAAAAAATCTGTTGACACAGTGAATTTAAATCTTCTCATATTTTGAATTACCTTGAAGTGACAGTAGTCCTGTCCCATACATGTGCTGTTGGAGGGAGTGTTTGGATTGTTTCTGCCCAGTGTTGATCATAAGCCAGTGTGGTCAAGTTCACATGGGCCAGGTTCCACAGTCACACCGGTAAAGAGCAGGCCTAGGAAAAGGAGGACACAAGGAGGAGGGCCGGAAGCAGAAGAACATGGGGGTGGCTGGGAGGATATAGCTAAGTCTGAAGATGAATGTTCTCATTTGTCCCTGCATCACTTGGGGTGCTCCATAACCTCAGTCAGTGCCTCAGAGTACAGAAAAGTGGTCAAGACATGTAAGGACAAATTTATCAACAGAGAGATTGTTACCCAAGCATTCTGTGCACAGGGCTTTGTGTGCACCAGGACAGGATGACATGGAGATGCCCTTAATGGGACAGGTTGCCCTTTTAGGTTCCCATGGAAGGGTTTTATTCCTGACACTCACTGCAGGTCAATATAGGTCCCCTAACAGATCCCCTCTCTGTTGGAATTGCTGACCCCCAACCTCAGTGCAACCACACCACAGCACAACTGCGGCCACCCCCATGTTCTTCGGCTTCTGGTCCTCCTCCTTGTGTAGATGGGAACCTAAAACGGGGTCAGTAATCAGGAAGTATTTCTAGACCAAAAAATGTTACACTGTGTCCTTGCCTGAGTTATAAACAAGAATTTCATTGAAAATTACTAAGTGCATTTTGTCATCAGGTAGATGTTAAAAAACAAAATGTCTACATCCATGTACACCCAACATTGCAGGATTAGAAACAGAAAGAAACTCAGTGCCTGGGTATCTTGGGAGAGAGAACAATCAAGTGGAGAAACAATGCTTTGATTTTTTTCAACGTCTCTAAATTTGATTTCTGTGCTCAATGTGTTTTGTGCACCCCCTACTGGTACCAGGCAACTTTTCAGGGACTTTTGAGTCAAGGCTAGAAATGAAGATACCTCTGTGTGTTTCTCAGGGGTGACAGAGTTCAGTCATAGAAA